CCCCCATCATACAGTGTGCCGCCCGGGCCCCCCATCATACAGTGTGCCGCCCGGCCCCCCCCATCATACAGTGTGCCGCCCGGCCCCCGCCCCGCTGGCCGCAGTGTGCCGGAGGGAGGAGATGCGGAAGACCCGCCCCCAGGATGGGTGGGGGAATTTTCTATAATCTTAGTAGAGGCAGTGTCACCGCGGGCCGGGCTAGGACAGGAGCAGCGCTGCGGCCACATATGATCCTCCCTCTCGCTCTCCCTAGCCCGGTGCTCGGTATTTACTCCGGTGGTGGCCGCGGATCCTTACTCGGGATTCAGCCAAGCGGATACTCGGTGAGTGACGTGGCGGTGCCGGCCGGTTAGTGAGCGCTGTGAGGGAGCGGCCCACGGTGCGGACACCGGACACTCAGCACCCCGGGGGGGGAGAGCTGCGTTATACAGCGAGATGGAGACATGCCCTCTATGGCGGGATACTGCGGGCACTGCGGGCAGGGAGACTCCCATATACCGAGACATTATATTATATAGATATAGTGTGATATATTAATGGATATAGTGTGATATATTAATGGATATAGTGTGATATATTAATGGATATAGTGTGATATATTAATGGATATAGTGTGATAGATTTATTTGTTAGTTTCTCCTACAGACACTAACACCGCATTGAGCTTGGCTGCAGCCCTGGCTGTACATATGGCGGGGGGTTATATAGCCAGTCTGATCATATAATAATAATAATAATAATAATATAAATACTGTGTATACCAAGCTGGCCATAATCAGTGCTGGGATAGTATGTATCATCACATGATGGAGAGCAGGTTACATTAAACATTCTGGTCCTGGAATTGAATGGGGGGGCCAGCAAATAATGGCCAATACAGTCTGTGTCCTGATGGTCCTATGGCTGTTAAGCATGTTTGTAGCCACCAAGGTTGCCAGGTCAGCCATTTTACATTGGATATAGAGGTACCCCACATACTGTGAATAAACAAATGGAAGAGCCAACCCGCAAGATGTAGATTATCTGAACAAGAAAGGATTGAATGAGGGTGTGGATCTGTGAATAATTCATTATCTACTTCCAGTCATGCGTAATATCTTTGTATAATTGTGTGACACTTATTTCAGTGCTGGATAGAATGATGCAGCATTGGTTTGGGTTTTATTATTTTTTTTATATAGCTTCAGCATATATTTGAGTGCTTTATAATTTCACAATGGGGATATGTAACAGCAAGTCATAAAATAATGTTCACCAAAGCAAGAGGTGAAGAGTGCCCTGCTCAAATGAGCTAGAATATGAGTTATCAAACAGGCACTATAACCACTACAGCACACTGTAATGTTTACGATAGCAGGAGTAAGGAGTCAAACAGTTTGCTATTAATTAGGGTCTCCTAGGCCTTATTCTTTTATGACAATGAGCATTTCCATTCCGCTTAAAAAGTATAATTTTTTATTTTTTTATTTTCTAAGCTTTGCCTTTTATTCATTTTCTGATTAAAAATCTGTTTTAGCTATAGCACAGTAGAACAAAAGCAGTGTTTGACTCTTGTAATTGTCAGCATTCAATAAGTGTTTGATTACTTAAAGGGTTAGTCCTACCCTTGTGAAGTAAAAAAAATTAAACTTTTTTTTTACTCTACATGTACCAGGGTTCCAACTAGCTCCTGCCACAAATCTGTGTGGGTGGTGGTTCAGACAGAAACGCAGCACATGCAGACTCCTACCACATTAAATCACTGAAGTGGTTGGTCATGGTGATTCCATACCTCATACTAGATAAGGGGTAGGCAACCTTTTAGCAGTACTGAGCCAAAATAGTCCATTGGAGTGCCAGTCCTTGTACACTGTGTGAGAACAGTTTGTGGTATTCTATGTGTTCTGTATGGCTGTGGGTTGTATGTCGTATTGTGTGTGTATGTGGACTTTCAGTGGTGGTATATGTAAAGGGGCTACCTGTCAACCTGTGTGGCTGTTTGTGGTATGTGTGTTTTATGTGGGACTGTCTCCCACATTTTCCCAGACAAAGATATTCACATGCAGGTGCTCATTCCAGACACATTCATGGGATACACGTGCACTAATACATAAATGCTACACACAATCACAATGCTACTCATACATGCTGCTTGTACACACATTAAAGGCAACCTTCGTCACTCCAGATGTTGTGTTCTACATTTCCCCATATGCTTTGCCGGCATTATGGTTATGGGTGGTGTAATCCACAACATCTGGAGTGCTGAAGGTTGCCATCCCTACACACACACATTCAAATAATGATATTTTAGCCACCCTCCTTTTCACTTTTTAGCAGTAGGAGGGGGGCTTCCATAGCGTCCAGCAGACACTGAGTTGGCCAGTCACACGGCTACTGCTGCTTTCCTACCTGGATTCTTCTTTATAGGCACCTAGACCACTTCATCTTATCCAACCCCCATACTAGATAGTCAGAATATGGGCAGGTTTCAGTTTGAAACTTCAACTCTGAAAGGGACTCTTCAGTGCCAGAAAAACATATTAGTTTTAATGGCACTGCAGGGCCCTACAGTGCCCCTCTTCCTCCCACTCCCCATCCCAAGTTGCTGAATGTCCCTCGGCCCTGGGTCAGGCTCCGCCTACTCTCCTCCAGTCGGTGGAGTAGACCTAAGGTGCATGCCCAACAATGGCCGTGCACGCGCATTAGACCTCCCCATAGGAAAGCATTATTCAGTGCTTTCCAATGGGGATTTTCAGAGATGCTGGAGGTCCTCACATAGCGTGAGGACGTCCAGCATTGCTTAAAACACTTTTCGTGCTCTAAGAACAGAGAAGTCCCTCTAGTGGCTGTCTGATAGGACTTAACCCTGCAAGGTAATTATTGCAGTTTATGAAAATGGCAATAATTACACTTGCAGGGTTAAGGGTAGTGGGAGTTGGCACCCAGACCACTCCAATGGGCAGAAGTGGTCTGGGTGCCTGGAGTGTCCCTTTAATCCACTGCATTGCATGTTTTGAAAGTAACTGCAGCACTCAAGTGTTTAATAAGTACCAGGAAATCTATGATTCTCCCAGCAACCAATGCCTGACCTCACTGCAGGATTTCAGATCTAACCACCTAGGCTGACATGAAAGATCAGATGTAGCCCAACGCCTGCTGCCTATCATTGTTGACCAAGGTGTAATGTTTAAAGCGGTACTTTAATCCCCACTACCCCCTGAAAAACTAGTATTTCATTAAGGTAGAATCTTTACAAAATACTCATATTGACAGTGTTTTAATTTCACTGAAATGCCAACCCAGGCAAGAGATATACAGATACAAAGTAGGGGCTACTTTATTTCTGTGTATTTCTTATGGCTGACACGTCTAGACACTGGGCTATATTTCCTACACATGGACACTTTTAGATGTAATTGATGACTGCAGGGAATTTTCTATTTATCTGTGGAGGATCCCGTGGTCTCTATACACCTCAATGCTGTACTTTTGCGCATGTGAGCAGTGACATCGGTTTCTGGCACTGAAGAGGACTGGGAGAAAATGGCTAAGCCTACGAGGGACAGGTTTAGGTAACTAGCACTCTCCTTCACCTGGCCACCGGGGACACAGCTCCGATGTCACCAAATTCTGCAAAGTCCCCAGATGGTGACAGTGCTGCTTTAATACAGATGAAATCAGAGATATGTCTCCAGAAAGAACATCTTCAAATGCACTTATGTAGTGTTAAATTGGATTTACAGGCCTGCTATTCTCAAGGAAGGCTGGCAGCTTTTTACCTGGGTGAAAATACAGAGTTTTTTTGCACATAAAACCCTTGGATTTGTGTGGATTATCCTTCTCTGGCATGCACAGAACATATTGGAGTTTGACAGATGAAAGCTGCTGGAGTTATGTGGCATCATGTACTTCTGCAACCCCTATCACTATGACTTCTGCAGCATAAGGAAGCATACACAGAATTTTTATTTTTTTCCCCTCCCCTAACTACATTTACATCTCACACTTTAGCCACATCTGAGAAAAGTAGTTAGGCCAGTTTAAGGCTGGAGTCCCATAAGTTTATGGCCAATGTTCTGAAAACCAACCATGAAGGGCAGGGTTCGCAATATCAAAAAAATAAATAAATCTTACTCTCTGAAACTGGTCAACAAACAGTCTTTTCTGTCCTTCCTCAGAGAAGATCTACATGGTTATTCACTAAAGTGTGGATTTCAAATTTGACACCAAAAAAGTTGGCTATTGTGGCCTAAATTTGAAATTCACAACAATTTATACGTTAGTGAGTAATCCTGTCTAGCTATCAAAATTAGCATTTGACCTGAAAAGAACAGTTTTTTTCCATCTGGTTATGTAATCTGCCAAATAAACTGTAAGGCTTAAAAACAAACAGGGTACACAGCTGTATTCTGGGCATGTAGCTGAACACAGTTTGTGTTTTTTTTTTTTTTGTTTAAACTTATGATGTCTATACTTTTGTGAAGCGATTTTTGTAGTTAATGAGATTTTGTTCTCAATGGTAGACCCAAGAAAGAATACATAAGAATTGGCAAGTAAAATGTATACCGCACAGACTCTATAAAATGCAATATGTAGTAGAGGATTGAAATTGATCAGAACATGCAAATTAAAAAAAAATATATATAAACTTAATACATATTTCTTTATATAAGGAGTAAAGTGCAAACACTGAATGATGTTGTTGGCTAACTGGGCAAAATCAGTGTAAAATGGTACCCAAGGAGGACTTCCTGACAAATAGATACTTGCATATGTTGCATTGGTGTTGTGAATCAGTTTTGGCTTTGGCTATTCCTAAACGTATGACTCTGCATATCAAATGAACACTCTTTGTAATGTTTGTTCTATTACTTCTAAACAGTGATTGCAATTATAAATGTCCAGCCATAGACAGTTTAAAAAGTGTTTTGTTAGTGAGTATTTCTTTGTACAATTATTGCTTTAGTTATTTTCCAGTATTGTGGAATTGGCAGATTTTCTTCTCCATACTTAATATAAATACTTTATTCTTTATCATTTGGCAGGTTGTGCAAAGTATGATGTCTGCAGCTCCCACTGGAGATGATGTAGGACTGGAGTCCTCTCTGGAAGCAAGCATCACTAGTACGTGCTCATTTGGGGCCAGCCGTGCCAGAATCTTCAAAATAATTGTAATTGGGGATTCAAATGTTGGAAAAACATGTTTGACATACAGATTCTGTACCAGCTGCTTCCCAGATCGGACAGAAGCCACAATAGGAGTGGACTTCAGAGAGAGAAGCGTGGAGATTGATGGAGAAAGGATCAAGGTAAATCAGTAAAAGGGTAACTGGTTTGTGAAAAGTAAATGGTTTTTTCAAAGTTATCTAAGGGAAATGATAGAACTAAATAAATGTCTTGTGTAATTGATTTAAATGAACTATACGGTCACCATAACAACTTAATCAAATGAAGTAAGTTGTTATGGTGTCCAGAGGTCCCTGGGGCTTTCTTACCTCAAGGGCTTAAACTGTTTCAGGAAGTGTGGGGTGTCACCGGGCATATATATATATATATATATATAATAAAAATAAATATATATATATATATATATATATATATATATATATATATATATATATATATATATATATATATATATATATATTTATTTATTTTCTCTCTTTTTAATGGGGAGCAACTGAATGGCTTAAAGCAAATCCTAGGTTGCCATGGCGACTAGGAATTTTGTGCGGGCACCTGGGTGTTTGTCAGTCCTGGCCACCTTAGGGCCCACGAGGTGGGTGGCTGTTGGCAATGGAAGAAGCTGTAATCCTCTTCCTCTGCACCCTGTTGGATGTCATGAGCCTGGATATGATGTTACTCCGCTGACCGTAGGTGCTGCAATGAGATAGACTACCACTAGAGGTGCTTACTAAGTGACTTCCACTACAGGAGTTAATAGGCACCAATGTAAACACTGCTTTTTCTTGAAAAGCCTGCAGGGGAAGGCTAAACACACCAGAATTACTAGTAGTGGTTCTGGTAACTATAGTGTCCCTTTTAAAAATTAAAAAAGAATTTTTTTTGTAGTTGACAAAACCTTTTCTTTGTTTTGAAACAAAAACCTGCTCCTAGCTTCAATGCAAATTTGTCAAGTCCTGGCTTAGTATCATCTTACTATTGTAGTCAGTGGCGCCCCTGACCAACAGCACTACTTGTTTCCTAAAATGCATTTGAAGAAGCCAAATGGGGAAATGGAGATCTGATGCTGCAGAGCAAGCTTTGGGGTTTATCACCGTTTCAGGTAGAAAAAGCGCCAGGGACCTCTGGGCACCATAACTTCATTTCTATGAAGTTGTTGTGGTGAATATACAGTAAAATAAAATTCAGGGTAGTAGGCTTGTTTTAGGATATTAACATGCATCAGTATCATCTGATTCCGGTTTGTCTGTGATTACATTTGTGCGTTTTATATTTTGCAGATTCAACTGTGGGACACTGCAGGACAGGAGCGCTTCCGTAAAAGTATGGTCCAACACTACTACCGTAATGTGCATGCTGTTGTCTTTGTGTATGACATCACCAACATGGCTAGTTTTCAGAGCCTCCCATCCTGGATAGAAGAATGCAAACAGCATTTGCTTTCAAATGATGTGCCCCGTATCTTGGTTGGCAACAAATGTGACCTTAGGGACTCCATCCAGGTTCCCACAGACTTGGCTCAGAAATTTGCTGACTCTCACAGTATGCCCATGTTTGAAACCTCAGCAAAAAACACAACGGACCACGTTGAAGCTATTTTCATGACACTGGCTCATAAGCTGAAAAGCCACAAACCACTTATTTTAAGCCAACCTCCAGAGAATACAGTGCAGTTGAATTCTGGTGCAAAGACCACTTTTCCTTGTTGGTGCTAGATTATTTTTTTTTCTCACTATTAACCAATCTCATTGACTGTTAGGTAAAGTCTTTAGTATCATGATTCATTATGGGATGTTGAAAAGGAATAATAGGATTCTCCTGCAATCAGTGAATTTTTAATTTCTCTATTTTTTTCCTCCTTCCTCCCACTCTCTTTTGGACCATTTCACTGTCCCGGTATTTGGAGACCAAATATGTGTTCTGGGATCTGTGTGCCCTGCCATGCACGTTGGAGAACACTGTTTTTTGAGATCTGCATGCTACTAGAGTTGACAAGTGCAATTTTATTAATAAGCACAGAGGTTTTATTACTAATGGCTTACTTGAATGGTATATAATAATCTTTTGACTTGGAATACCGTATTTTTCATAAAGGGAGTTTACCTTTCCCTGCTTTTATGTGTGTATTACTAGACTTTCTAATAAGTGTTTCCATTTCTGACACTATTTACTGGCCTCCGTTCTTTAATGTTTGTTGGAGTAACAAAGACTGCCTTTTAAGTATAAATGCCTCTATCCTGGTACAAGCAACATCTTCACCTTCCTAATGTGAACAATTGTTTTTGGTCTTGAATCCAAATTGTATCACAATCCTAAATAACAAGAATTACAGTTGCATGAGGAAAATCCTTGATTTTAGGTCAACCTGGAAACAATGCATAATGAAGATATGACTGGATACAGCACACAAAACAAATGTATTAAATGCCCACAACCTGACCATTTTAAAGCCATAGTTACTAGTGTTCTTATATTAAGATTACATAGTCTGTATTTTAACCATCTTTGTGAATAACCATTCCAGATGTGTAATCACATAGCAAGGTTGAGTCTTTCTCCGTATTGTTGCTATTGTTTTGGTTATGTTTTTTGTTTTCTTTTGGGAGGGAGAAAGGTACACATCTTCTAACTTTTTTTTACCCAACAAAACCCAACATTTATTTTAACAGATTAATTTTCTAATTTGTTCAGTATAAATGAAGATCAGAACATACCTCCCCAACACATGAAACTTTTTTTTTTAATAAAGTAAAATTGCACTAAATGTTTGAAGGTTAGTGGGTGAATAATTTGTATGGCATAGAATATACCTTGTACGTAGCCTTCATAGAATGATTAATACCACACACTCACTTTAGCTTTCTGAAGTGTTTTACGGGCTAGAAAAGTGTAACCTGTTTTGAGAAATTAGCACTTTTTATAATGAAACTATGCTGTCCCTCCCATCTGTAAACAGGACAACATGAGGGTGCTGTTCTTTGCTTTGAGCACTCACTCAAAGTGGAAGGCATTGCTACTCCATGAAAAACATTCATTTGCTGTTCATGTGTACTAGGACCCCAGTGCTGTGAGGATCTCCTAGAGGCTGTGAGGAGAATGTGGCATGCTACTGGGTTAGAGATAACCGTAACAGCTTTATTTTTTTTACATGTGTTTATTACTGATGCCGGTTTGTTCTTTTAAGAAGTTTAAGGCTTGGAACTGGTTCATCATACATGTGGTTTCATGGCTGTAAACTGCCTAAAGAAATACCATCCACTGAAAACCATTAACAAGGTATATTTTATATGACAAACAAAAACCCCACATGCTATACTTTATTTATTTTGTTTCTTTAAAAATTAAAAAAAAAAAAAAAAAAATAGTATTTCTTAAAGGTCTCTTGATCATCCAACTTGCAAATCTCTACTCTGATACCCATGCCTTTTTATAAACTAATCCTTTTTTTATTTTCTTAACTTAAGTGGCACTGTCAACACCCCCTCTTCCAAATGAGTGAGTATTTAATAAACATAAAATCTTTTTGAAATACTCACATTGACTGTTGGAATTTCTCTGTAATTCCAATGCAATCAAGAGATATATTACGACAAATTAGGGACTTGTTTTTGGTATTTATTTTTTTTACCCACTTTGCTAAAGGTGGAGTTAGCTTTATCAAGTTTGCTGATTCTGCAAAGTCATCAGAGACTCTTTAAGAACCTGGTTTTACGGTTACAGTGCCACAAAATTCAACCTGTCAGTGGTTAGGATAATCCAGCTTTACATGTGCAGATCTACATGTGAAGATCTGCAAAAAAATACATTTGCTAAAAGAAAAATAGTGCAATTATGTCAAGAGGAGGTCTTGAAATTTTGAGCCCTGGTGGAACAATATTCTAAAATATTTTCTTAAATGATTGCATTAACTTTACAAATTGAACCCAGCTTTTTTCAATATACAATCCCATGTGTTTGCAAAACTGACTAACAAACGGATATTGTGACCTGTGGTTTCTAGAAGTACCTACATGCACTATTTGCTGTCTCATAATGTACATTGCAGTAGGCTAATCTGAAGCTAAATAAATCCTGCAACTCTGCCATCAACCTGTAAACTAGCTGTTTTAACCTACAGATATCTTCTGATGTACCTACCTGCTAGTAGTATGTTCTGCACAGTATGTATATTTTTGCATATGATTTGTGTACCTTAAACCAAAGCTATAAGTCAAGCTTTAGTCAGTGTCACTCATGTACAAATTTTCTAAATGTTCTTGGTGGTATTCAGTATACACATCCCCACCTAGTTGTTATTGTTATAGTATCTTATTCTCAAAAAAAAAAAGGGAAATATGCCTTGTTTAAATGAACAGTTATACATGCTTTCTGTAGTAGCAAGCACTTTTGTTAGCCTGCAGAATTAAAAAAAAAAAAAAAAAATCAAACTTTAATTCTCCCACAACCATTTTCTTAAGATATTATTGTATTCGGATGAATGTGAGGGTCTCAAATGTTGGCTAGGGCTGGATTGCCAATGATGCTGTGTGACCTTTATATTTTCAACATATATGATGCACATCCCCAATGCACTGCATTTTGGGCCTTGGAAACAATATATATATGTATATATGTTTTATTTATATTTTTCCTCTTCTTTATTTTCAAACATCGAAGCAGAGAAATTGATCTGCACCACACCACCTGAACTGTTGTTTCTATACCCCATATAATCTTCGTACAGCAACAGATTTGTGTATCTGATGATTTGAAGTGCAGCTGATCAAATTATATTGTCCAGTAAATATAATGGTGAAATGGGTTTGCCATGCAAGGCTTTCAGTTGGTTCTCATAAAACATAGCCTACTTCTGTGTACTTGCAAAATAATTAATTGTCACACTTCAATAAAGAAAATGTCTGTTAGAATAGATATCTTGTTTTATTGGCATCTCGTACTGTAAAATGTTTAACAAGGTTATTTCTGACCTGACTAAAAGTCTGTTGTAAAGTAACTTGAATTTCTCAAAAAAGTGTTAATAAAGACTAAATATAGTGACTTATTTTTAAAAAAAAAAAAAGGACTGAAATATGCTTACATTTACATAAAGTACCGCTTTTAACCCCTTAAGGACCAAACTTCTGGAATAAAAGGGAATCATGACATGTCACACATGTCATGTGTCCTTAAGGGGTTAAAAATACAAAACGTATATTCACAAACCGTTGAGTTTATAGTGCTATTTCTATAAAACCCAAAAAAACGCTTATCTTATAGGGTGATAGTGGTATTTCTATATGTGTACTTTTTTCCCCCACTTCAAAATACCAATAGTATACAATAGTGTAAAAACATCTATAAAAATGGAACACACAATATACAGAGCTAATCCATCTAGCTCTGGTATAGGTGACTGCTCCTTTGCAACAAGATGAAGAGAATTAAGTGTTCTTATGTAGACAGCTCGGGAGAAATAAAGTGCATATAGTGTAGTACCACCTAACCTGAAGATCTAGTTGAAACAAATAAGTTGTCCTCACAGGTATGCAGCCTTGTAAAGTGGCTCAAACTGAAAGCCTTGTATGGTAAGTGACCATACACCCTTTTTATAGCATGCAGGAAGACTGGATGTGTTAACTTTTAAAAGTATATACTTAATTACAGATAAAAAGAAGTTGAATTCTAAAAATAAAATTTTACTGCTTCAAGTCCAGTTGTTCTACAGAAACGCGTTTCGCCAAAAATTCTGCTTCATCAGTCCGGTAGCAGTCCCACTGTGTTGCATTTTATGTAAAAATAAGTGCTACACTACTGTGTTTTTTGTTTTGTTTTTTTAAATATCCAGAATGACCTATATTAACTGCCCAAAATAAAGCTACCCTTCAAAGAATTAAAACAATGTAGTGGATCCAAAATATGTGCTTTCATTTTGACAATAAGCTTTATTCTGTTTGCTAAGTGGAATATACAGAATTCTGAGAAAAGGGAATTGTGTATTTTTAGCACAGTTTAAGTACAGCACTTTGCATTTACAGATGTGTGTGGTTATGAATTTTATGTTTTTATTTTAATACAAATTCAAGTAGAGGGCATATTCAAATAAATGTTATATATTCCATTTTGAAAAGGGAGTTTTCTTTTATGAAATAAACTCATTCCCCCGTTGATACAATTCGTGTAAATCATTCAAACTGTTCATGTTATGTCTCTCATTCTATTAAAGAGTAGCTCTGATGGATAGGGTGGTTTGGCACTCTTGGTAATGACTGGTCCCATATTCCCAGCACCCTAGTAGAAGCGAAGCGGCATCTGTCGTCCCTAAGGTAGAATAAATATATAATCCACAGGCTTCACAGTGTACATACTATTTAGTTATGTTTTTTGATACAGGATACGACATAAAATAAATGCGTAGTTTCGGCCTACTGGGCCTTAGTCACACATGACTGAGACCTTGTAGACTAAAATGTTGCATTTATTTTATATTGTATACTGTATGCATCAAAAAAAATATAACTACAGACATGATGGAGGCAAACGTTGTTTAAAAGGTCACTATAGTCACTAGAACAACTACAGCTTAATATATTTGTTCTGACTAGTAAAATCGTTCCCTTCAGGCTTTTGTGCAGTAACCACTGTGTTTTCAGAGAAATGCAGTGTGTACATTACAGCCTAGTGATAACTACACTGGCCACTCCTTAGATGGCTACTGGAGGTGCTGCACCTGTGCAGCACTGCTATTCAGTGTCTCCACCCTCTGCAGGGAGACACTGAACTTTCCTCATAGAGATTCATTGATTCAACGCATCTCTATGAGGAGCTGCTGACTGTCCAGGGCTGTGTTTGGCTTGTGCTTCCTCTGCCTCCTTGACAAGCTCAGCCAGTCCTATGGGAAAGCATTGTGATTGGCTCAGATAATTACTTCTGAGAATGTCAGCCAAGCAGGCAGATCAAGGGCAGAGGCAGCAGCTGCAGACTTGAATACAAGTAAGATTTTACTATATTAAGGGAAGCAGGGGAATTAGATGGTGCTTTAACACTATAAGGTCAGGAATACATGGTTGTTTTCCTGACCATATAGTGTTCCTTTAAAGCAAATTGATATGAAATTAAAGATGTGTTCTGGGAGCCAATGCCATTTAAGATGACATTCAAATGCATAAATGTTAATCTATTTCACTATTGAACTATAATACGTGTGTGTGTATATGTGTATGTATATACATAACATTGTCAAAGGTAATATCAGGGTCCAAGGTGAGAAAGAACAGTGGCCATTTTGAATTTGAAAACCTTTTTGTCTTTTCATAAAACATTGTCAAGTTGTAGAGCTCCATATTGTGCTGCTGTATGTGAAATGTTTTTCATATGTCACATGGTATGGTGGCCATCTTCTCTTGATAAATAGCTATGGTGTGTCGTCCGCCATAGGCAGTATGAAGCCCTTATGTCTTGTGGTTTTGCAGCTACATTGGTCTGCATGACAAAAGTAGCAAATTTCAGATATTCTCGAAAAATGCATCTCCTTGTAACTTCTAATTTTATGTGCAATATTTATACACTTGCTATGACATTCTCTTACACTCGACCACCTGTTAAAGCCAAGAAGTCTTGTGATTTGGCAGCTATTTTGAAAAATAAAACATTACAGCGAATTTATGAAATAACTGTTACATAGCTGAAAAGAGACTTGCGTCCATCAAGTTCAGCCTTCCTCACATATGTTTTTGCTGTTGATCCAAAAGAATGCAAAAAACCTAGTCGGAAAGCGCTTCCAATTTTACAACAAACTAGGAAAAAATTCCTTCTTGACCCCAAAATAGCAGTCAGATGTCTCCTTGGATCAAGCAGCTATTACCCCACTAATTAGAAATTATATCCCTGTATGTTATGTTTTTGCAAGTATTGATCCAATTGCAGTTTAAACATCTGTAATGACTCTGACAAAGCCACTTCTTCAGGCAGAGAATTCCATATCTTTATTGCTTCTACTGTAAAAAAAAAACCTTTTCTTTGCCTTAGATGAAATCTCCTTTCTTCCAGCCTAAATGTGTGACCTTGTTTCCTAGGTGTAGTCCTGTTTATGAATAGATTTCCAGATAAAGGTTTGTACTGGGCCCGAATATATTTGTATAATGTTATCATATCCCCTATCCATTTTTCCAAACTAAACAGATTTAATTTTTTTAACCTTTCTTCATAACTAAAATGCGCCATTCCTTTTACAAATTTTGTAGCTCGTGTCTGCACTTTTTCTAGTGCCATGATATCTTTCTTTTGAACAGGTGCCCAAAATTGTATAGCTTATTCAAGGTGTGGTCGTACCAGCGATTTATAAAGAGGCAAAATTATATTTTCATTCTGAGAATGTGTGCCCCTATTTATACATGACAAAACCTTACTGGCCTTAGCAACTGCAGATTGACATTGCATATTGCTGCCTAATTTGTTGTCTATAACAATTCCTACATCTTTCTCGTGTGTGGTTATCCCTAGTTCACTACCCTTTAGGGTGTAAATTGCTTGTGCATTGTTAACACCGAAGTGCATAACTTTGCATTTCTCTACGTTAAATTTCATCTGCCATTTGAGTGCCCAGTCCCCCAATCTATCCAAATCCCTCTGCAGCAAAGCAATATCCTGCTCACATGTTATTACTTTACAAAGTTTTGTGTCATCTGCAAACACTGATACATGGCTTTCAATGCCTATTTCAAGATCATTTACAAATACATTGCTCAAAAAAAAATAAAGGGAACACTTAAACACAATGCAACTCCAAGTCAATCACACTTCTGTGAAATCAAACTGTCCGCTTAGGAAGCAACACTGAGTGACAATCAATTTCACATGCTGTTGTGCAAATGGGCTAGACAACAGGTGGAAATTATAGGCAATTAGCAAGACACCCCCAATAAAGGAGTGGTTCTGCAGGTGGTGACCACAGACCACTTCTCAGTTCCTATGCTTCCTGGTTGATGTTTTGGTCACTTTTGAATGCTGGCTTTCAATCTAGTGGTAGCATGAGACGGAGTCTACAACCCACACAAGTGGCTCAGGTAGTGCAGCTCATCCAAGATGGCACATCAATGCGAGCTGTGGCAAGAAGGTTTTCTGTGTCTGTCAGTGTAGTGTCCAACGCATGGAGGCGCTACCAGGAGACAGGCCAGTACATCAGGAGACGTGGAGGAGGCCGTAGGAAGGCAGAAACCCAGCATCAGGACCGGTACCTCAGCCTTTGTGCAACGAGGAACAGGAGGAGCACTGCCAGAGCCCTGCAAAATGACCTCCAGCAGGTCTCAAATGTGCATGTGTCTGCTCAAACGGTCAGAAACAGACTCCATGAGGGTGGTATGAGGGCCCGACGTACAAAGATGGGGGTTGTGCTTACAGCCCAACACCGTGCAGGGCATTTGGCATTTGCCAGAGAACACCAAGATTGGCAAATTCGCCACTGGCGCCCTGTGCTCTTCACAGATGAAAGCAGGTTCACACTGAGGACATGTAACAGACGTGATAGAGTCTGGAGACGCTGTGGAGAACGTTCTGCTGCCTGCAACATTCTCCAGCATGACCGGTTTGGCAGTGGGTCAGTAATGGTGTGGGGTGGCATTTCTTTGGGGGGACGCACAGCCCTCCATGTGCTTGCCAGAGGTAGCCTGACTGCCATTAGGTACCGAGATGACATCCTCAGACCCCTTGTGAGACCATATGCTGGTGCGGTTGGCCCTGGGTTCCTCCTAATGCAAGACAATGATAGACTTCATGTGGCTGGAGTGTGTCAGCAGCTCCTGCAAGACGAAGGCATTGATGCTATGGACTGGCCCGCCCGTTCCCCAGACCTGAATCCAATTGAGCACGTCACGTTGCACCACAGACTGTCCAGGAGTTGGCAGATGCTTTAGTCCAGGTCTGGGAGGAGATCCCTCAGGAGACCATCCGCCACCTCATCAGGAGCATGCACAGGTGTTGTAGAGAGGTCATACAGGCACGTGGAGGCCACACACACTACTGAGCCTCATTTTGACTTGTTTTAATGACATTACATCAAAGTTGGATCAGCCTGTAGTGTGTCTTTTCACTTTAATTTTGAGTGTGACTCCAAATCCAGACCTCCATGGGTTGGAAAATTTGATTTCCATTTTTTAATTTTTGTGTGATTTTGTGGTCAGCACATTCAACTATGTAAAGAACAGAGTATTTCAGAAGAATATTTAATTCATTCAGATATAGGATGTGTTATTTTTGTGTTCCCTTTGTTTTTTTGAGCAGTGTATGTTAAATAGAAGCGGTCCCAAAACAGAACCCTGAGGGACACCCTTACCACTTTTGTCCAGCCTGAAAATTTACCATTAATGACAACTCGTTATACTCTATCCTTAATCCAATGTTCTACCCAAGAACAAAAATATTCATCTAGACCAATTTCTTTTAGTTTGAAGACTAACCTATTGTGAGGAACCGTATCAAATGCCTTGGCAAAATCCAAGTAGATCACAGCCACTGCAACACCCTGATCTATACTTCTACTTACTTCTTCGTAGAATGCAATTAGGTTAGTTTGACATGACCTATGTTTCATAAAACCATGCTGATTATTGCTAATAACAAAGTTCTTCCCAATTAATTCCTTAAGATTATCCCTTAATAGCCCTTCAGATATTTTCACAGTTACAGAAGTTAAGCTCACAGGTCTATAATTTCTAGGCAAGGATATTGAACCCTTTTTAAATATAGGAACAACATCTGCCTTCCTCCAATACTCCGATACAATACCTGAAACAAAAGAATCTTGAAAATTTAAATACAGAGGTTCACTTATTTCCCCACCTAGCTCCTAAAGTACTCGTGGGTGAATACCGTCAGGCCCCGGAGCTTTATTTACATTAATTTTCTTTAATAGCTGTAGCACCTTGTCACGAGTTATCCAATCACAAGTTATCTGCAAGTTTTTTGCAGCAATCATTTGCATTTCTCTTGCCATAGGATCCTCATTAATATATACTGAAGAAAAATAGATGTTTAAAATTTCTGCTTTTTCCTGGTCTTCATAAGCTTACAAACCCAACTCTGTTTCCAGTGTACCTACACTTTCATTTTTTGTTTTTTTAAGAATTGATGTAATCGAAAAAAATTTGGGGGTTGGTTTTGCATTCTTTGGCTATCAATTTCTAA